ACGCCAAAATTGACGCTGCGCCGTTCCAAAAGTTCGACCCACTCTCTGAAACCTGGTATTTTGTCCAAGTGGGCACACCATGAACAACCCCTCCTCCCCGAAGACTCCTAACACTGAGCCTTGGGGCCTCCGCTGTGCCAAGCTAGTATTATATCTTCAAAGAAGCGTTACGTATGAATCACTCTGCTAGCAGGGCCAGTGAAAACGGCATGTGGGGCCCCCCGCTACTCCACAAGATGTTTGCACTCCAGTAAACATGCTGGAAGGCTCGTAGCTCAAAACTTTCAGAACGCCGATGTATGGGGCTTTAAAGTTTACCTAGAGTCAACAATGCACGTAGAAAACAAGGATCCGTACCTGGCAACTATATCTTTTTAAAGTCTAGTTGCTCTAGGTATAGGTCGCCAACTAGAGTCCCTCACGCGCAGCCCCGTAAATTAAAAACTCTAAACCTTAACCCTAAATCCTAAACCCTAAACTCAAAACCCTAATCCTAAACCCTAAGCCCAGCCGACCAGTCTCAGGCCCAGACACACACAATGCCCACGGTGGTGCGCTTCGACATCATGGCCCATCGATTAGGCCCTGGAAAGGCGGCATGGCTGCAACGGTTTAGGGCTTAGGGTTGAGGGTTTCGGATTTAGGGTTTCGGATTTAGGGTTTAGGGTTTAGGTGTTAGGGGTTTGGGTTTAGGGTTTAAGGGTTTAGGGTTTCGAATTTAGGGTGAAGGTGTGGGATTCTGTTTATTCCCAGAGATTCCAGTAGCCTTTGACTAAGGAGGATATCCTAGATGACACTGGACCCCAAATAGAACTTGAGGTATACTCTAGTTAAGAGGTGGGTTTCCTGTGGATAGACTTTGTCAGACTATGCAGTCCGTTTTCCCCTAAAGTGTTCCCTCAAAACTTCCCACACACTTCCGTGAAGCCATATCCTACCCGATTGTACTTGGCTTCCTTACCCTGACCCCGAAGCCCCCACCCCATATACATCTTACATCTCTTGACCCTCAAATACAATCCCTAAACCCTAAACCAGAAGTTACAATGAAGCCTACCCAACATCTTCTGGATGCCGTACGATCTATTGTCAATAGAAGCCTTATTAAGGGACCCTTTAAATGGGAAATACGATGTAGGGATTAGGCATTACCTGAACCCCAAAAGTAGGTAAAATAATGGCCCAAAAGACCCAAATATAGCCCCAAAGGCAATTATTCTACATACTTTGGGGGTTCAGGTACAGTTTAGGGATTAGGGTTTGGGGGAGCTATTGTCAATCTCAGCTGATTAGGCCCTAACGGTGGACGTAGGGGTCCGTCTTGTAGATTGGTATAGTCCTTTAGGATCCCTGCTAAGGAAACCATGTCCATCAAATTATGTAGGATATATACATATTGAAGTGGCTAGTATAACTTTTAGTATTTCTGGTGGTACTTGTTACTGTAAGGGGGGAAGTGCTTCATCTATACCTCGGGAATTACAGTAAAGTGGGGATCCTAAACGGTGTTAGATTCCCTCCATCCACTGTGTAACCAAACTTTGGCAACCTAGCAGAACCCTGAAAAGTAGTTTGACTTCTCCATTTCCCTATACCCTGAACCCAGGATGTTAGCTTCCATTCATTTACTGGGGATGAGGAGGAAGTATTGGAATCCATTATATTGGTTGTGCATAGGGACGATACCGATATTCCCTTATTCCCTGCGAAGAGCGTGTAAGCTTATTTGCTTCCATGTCTGCATCCCCCACAAACTCCACGTAGCGCTTTTCATATACCGTTCTTCACTCCCAAATTCAGCCTTAAAGGCTGGAAGACTATGTTAGACATGAAGATCCTCCTACTAGATTCTATGGAAGCTTCCATTCCATCATTCATCATCTTTCATCAGATCCTCTTAAATGATATATAGTCCAAGTATGGCTTTGGGTACAGTATACTAAGACCCCCCATATAGCCCATATTCTATCTACTTAATCGGGACGATAGAACTTTCCATTCCGTTGTTCATGGTCTTTTCCATTTGTCTCCCCATCAGGGGCTAAGCCGCTTCTTTGCGCCTCCATAGCAACCCCTACCTTGGGGCTCAAAGTCTATAAGTAGTGTATATAGGGTTTAGGGTTTAGAGTGTAGAGGTTTAGGGTTTATTGTCTAAACTCCTTAA